CATTTTTATCTGTTTGCAGTTTCATCAGCTCCTTGGTTAAATTACCAACATGCCGTCAAAAGAACACTAGCTTGAAGTTACTCTACTCTAGAAAAGTTATTTGCATGTTGTGACGAGAGCTTTAGTCTTGACTGACCTTTTTATTTGAGGTTTGTTGTCTGTTGAAGTAAGAAATGTCCTAATTTGAACGTTAATACAAAGTAGGTTTATTACTCACAATTATCCTGAAGATTCTAATTAATCAATAGATACAGTCGGCATCGCGTCATACTTGGGGGCGGGCCTCCCGTGCAGGAAAAGAATCACAGAAAAAAACAAACTACAAAATAATTACTCGAGTACTCGCTTTAACAATGGGAAGAGTAATCCAATTTTTTTGCATTTCTGCTCCCCTAGAGTGAAGTTTATATCCTGTGACTGGTGCATATAGACTGTCTGCACGAGACCGCTACAATCTCGGTGCACTGAATTAAACGGCTGCACAATGTTTTCTGCTCTTCAGTACATTCTTCTCCACTCTTTAGATCACATGTTGATTCTGTGAAAGCATTGATATAAAGGAAAATATTCTCATTACAGCGTCACATATCAGACTCTGTTCCTTCATCCACCACTTCTGCTTATCTCTTTTCACGTCATTTCTTGCCTCAGGTGATATGAGGAAATTATCAAGATATTTTCAGGAGTCCATGTGTGCAAACTACTTGTGTCCGTCTATTTCAAGATCCTTCTTTTTTTGCAAAACATTTATTCTCTGCTCTCAGCTGAATGACACAAATCAATGCATCTTTCTCTCTATTGTTCACATTGTTGAAGACATACATGGTTATGCTTGTTTACTGGTCTTTGTTTATTTTCATAGGAAGAAAACACCTAATTGCCACTCAATTGATCCTCACAGTGTGTGGACAAAGGCTCCTGATGTGAAGTGTTTTATATATGATGAAGGTCAAACTACTCTGAAAATGTGGTTCTATGGATGTTTAAATAAGATTACAGTCTTATAGCTATTTGAAGGTTTGGCTATTTTTTTTTTCTTCATATCAGTAACAGGTTTAAAGTCATCAGAGCTGCTTAGATGTTTCCACCATTACGTGAGAGTAAAATTGTTTAACTCCTTGATAGAAAACAACTGCGGCCCTCAGTCACAATTTCACACATCCTCTTTTTCGCACGTCAAAAACCCACAGAGAAACCCCCGAACTGTAATGACCTGATGGAGGAAAAACACCACTTTTACTTCACACTTCTTTTCTATATATTATGAGGAAGTCAAATCACTTAGTCTAGGTTAAAAAAAAGATATCAAATGTGTCAACCACATGCGGTCCAGACGGTCGGATTTACAGAAAAGAGATCGCTTCCATTTCTGCTCCTGGTCTTTGTGTACCAGGCAGGTGACCTCGATTAACATATAGAAAGCACCTTTGTTGTATAATTTTCAAACACTCGAGCATGCATGGGCAGTCAAGGAGAAACATGTCAGAATGAAAAGTAAACTGAAAACATAAAAAATATGAGGAAGTGGAAAAGAGTATTATAAATATTGAGCAATTTAAGGGAGATAACGGTTAATGGAAAACAACTTTTTCTCAACTGCAATAGAAACCAAAATTGACCTCAGAGATTAGATTCCTGATCTTGTGATTTGACCAGGGAATTTTTTTTAGTTCCACTAGCTTTCAGGCTATGTTGTAAAAAAAAAAAAAAAAGCACAGTTGGTATTTTCCCTTTGGCTGTGGCGACATATTTGGCTGCTTGAGGCCACTGTTAGCACAACGACAGGCACTGAGGGGGAAAAAAAGGCAAAGGCGGGATCTTAAACCAAGAGGGCTCTTTGCTGTATTTCCATAAACCTTCACAGTAATAATATGAAAAAAAGACCCTTTAAGAGGTTATCTGAGTCTACTCTAAATAGGACACAGATGAGGATAAATAGGGCAATATCGCTGCAATTATAACATGCATAGTGACCTCGTATAGCTGCATGTTCTCCATAGGCTTTTCTAATGGACATTCGTACATGTCCAACACCCAGAGAGAAATAAATATCCTGCCAATAAGCAGGTCTCCCTCCATGTGAACTGTGGCTCTCCTTCCTCTGAAAGCCGACCAAATGTCTCTCCCCTCCCTCACCTCCCTGAAACCTTAATGAGAGACTGTGAAGAGGTCTGTCAGTGTGACAATAATTACAGAAACTGTACTATTCAGCAGCTGCAAGAGACCCTCCCCTCCCTCCCTTAAAGCACATGTGCTAACCCCCTTAAACCATCCACATCTAACCAACCACATATCTCCAAATTTATATCTACAGAATAAAAAACACTCCAGCCATGTTAGTGTTTGTTCCACCTAGACCGAGTTCTGTGACAAACACAAGCGAGCGAGAGCTTGCCAACAATTACAGAGCCTTATCGCCCGCATTGTGCAGCTGAAGCATGACATTCAGCGAGTGTTGTTGTGTGAGGTAGAAACAATGTGAGAAGATAATCAGAGAGAGGAATGACACTGAAATCATTCCAGAAACAGAAATGGTTTCACTTACACAGAACATTTGACTAACTACTACATCTCTCCCTATGAGGGTGAAACTTCAGATGTGTCCTATACCTACTGGTATGCAGGTGTTAGTTTCCCCTCTTTGCTTCAGAGCAGCAACCACATATCATTCTGTATTGTTTAGCTTCTCCAGTGTCAAGATCTGACATTTTATCATAATCATAATCTATAGTTTAATATGCTGTTGTTGGTAAAGTTACACAAAGTTGTTGTGCTGGCTTCACGTACAAACAGCAGCAACAACTGTCAAGTGTAAGAATTGCACTTTAATTATCACAGAAGAGTCTGAGCGTCGTCATGGAGACGATTTGTGGGACAATTCTTCCAGTTCAGTCTGAACGTCTTCAAAGCGAGACTGAGAATGTTTTAGCGCCCAACGATCTTTCTGGATTGGTGACGCAGACATGGGCGCTATCATTTTGGATATCAGATACTTAAATTACATCAATACTGGACCCAAATACCGATATCAGGGTCCCATCTCTACAAACAAGATGGCTTGTCTACCCTGAAACAAGATATCTGAAACACCACATCAGACTCTGTGGAGATACAGATCAGTGGTTTAGTGCAGGCGGGGTTATCAAAGGTATACCGACTTTATTTTTAAGCTCCACAGAGTAAACCACTTCTACTGACACCACATTAAGTATTAGGAAGGTGAAGGGGTGACCTTTCAAACTCTGTCTCTGATTGGCTCGTAGGATGCACTAGGGCTGCACGATATGGACCGATACTCGATATATATCGATATGTATTTTATTAACAGTGAAAACACATGGAAAATAAACTACCTGTTTGTGAATTTAAAAAGTAATATTATGAAATAAAATGTTCCTTAAATAGAATAAAAGAGAGAGAGAGGAGGAGCAGACAGTCATCATCATCAGTGAGATGAGAAGAAGGTGACCTGGCACCTCGAGAACTTTATTTTAATGAAACATAAACTAAATCCATATTAACGATGTCGTCTTACCCTATATCTTGTTTGAAAACATATCGATATATCTGAAAAACTCAATATATTTCGCAGCCCTAGGATGCACACTGGCTAAATGTGCAAGAGTAGAATACATGTCACTGTTTGTAACAGGATGTTTATCCTCTACTGAATGAGCCATTTGAGGTCAAACAGAATCCTCTCTACATGGAACGTAGTACCTAAATCATAATGCAGTAACATTGGCCACATAAGTAGATAGACAGATAGATAGATAGTTAGATAGACAGATAGATAGACAGATAGATAGATAGACAGATAGATAGATAGATAGATAGGTAGATAGATAGATAGATAGATAGGTAGATAGATAGATAGACAGACAGACAGATAGATAGACAGACAGATAGATAGACAGACAGATAGATAGACAGATACTTTATTGATCCTGAGGGAAATTCAAAGCATCCAGTAGCAGGTTACAAAGACATGACATGAAACATTTGTTACAAATTAACCACAAAACCGACGCCCCCCCCTCCCCCCTCCCATACATATATATTAACCTGAAAAAGAAGATTTAAAGAATCCCCCTAGATCAGGGATGGGCAACTTTGGTCACAGCAAGGGGCCACGTCCATTTAATCCTCACTGCCAGGGGGCCAAATTGTAGTTTAGAAAAACGATTACAGTCGATTAAGTCTCAAATTTAACTCAGTGATCTGATATTATTCTGAACATATTTCTGCTGTTCATGATTTCATGGCAGGTGTAGTCATGTTTTCTTTAACTGATGTGTAAAAAAATTGACCTGAGGGCCACGTTGAGGGTTGATGGGGGCCCGCATGTGGCCCCCGGGCCGCCAGTTGCACACCCCCTGCCCTAGATGAATCAAACTTAAACTGTGCAATTAAATAGACTCGCACAAGAAATGTACATAACCTGTGCAGGGATACAAACACATGCAAACCTATAAACTGAAGAAATCTGTAAATAGAGCTGAATACAAAAGTATGCAAACAAGAAGTGATGTCATCACTGCAACAACCATAAATGTATGAAAAATCACAGCCAAGTGTCAAAGTCAAAGACAGAGATCATGAGCAAGCTCGGATTAAACAGCAGCCAACAGAAAGCCTCATAAAGGAGCCAGCAGAACCTTTAAATGAAGGATGTGATAAGAGAAAGAAGAAAACCCGTTCAGGCCATTTCCACTCTTAGTAACTTAGCAACCTGGTAGATAAAATCCAGAGGGGGGGGGGGTAAAAAACGGTTTCAAATGGGGTAACAGTGTGTGGGTCATGTTGGTAAAGGAGGTAGATTGTTTTTTGTGTGTGTCTGGGGTTAAGAGTTAGCAGTTAGCAGTTAGCCGACGTGACTTTTAACGTTACTCGGTGGATTTTTAAAGGGTAGCATCGGTTAGCATGTAGGCTAGCTCCCTGCAGCAGCTGCTATCAGAAAAGCTTCAGTGGGGCAGCCCAGATTCACCACGTCCTCTTACCTGATATCTTGATGGCCACCTCTTCTTCTTCTTCTTCTTCTTCTTTGTCTTCTTCTTCTTCTTCTTCTCTCCTTCAACGTGTAGCCAGTTTTATTTTCCACTCCAACAACCTAGCCTAGCTGATGAGACGCTGTGCCCTGTTGGAATAGCATTTTTCTCCCTCTGGTATCAAGGCATGTCATTGCTCAGCACGGCGGCTTCACAAGCTGCTCAGGGCACCAGATCCCGCCCACTCGGATCCAATTGGCTTGCGGAGAATTTCTCTCTCTTCTGATTGGATGTCAGCGGTGTCAGTCAATCACACTGCAGCTGCTGATGTTTCGAGTTCCTCCGAGCATCCATCATGTTTTTTCGCCTTGAGAGGATGAAAAGTCAAACTTATCACTGCTTTATTTAAAAAAACGCTTCATGAAGGGAGACATAGACATTTTTATCTTATCTTATAATAATTTTATATATGTTATAATCTAGTTATTCGGTTCAAATGCAGCTGTTTCAAAGAAAGTTGGATGTAAGACCCTTTAACCCTGACGTGTGACCCTGTGTACTTTTATGAATGAATGGATATTAAATGTGAATATTTTTGTGCCTGGTCATTTACATGATGCATCCCACATGGAATTATTCAGACACATTAGCTGCAAATCAATCAAATAATGCTCCAGGATGTCATTAAGCCAACGTCACATCAGCACCATGAACATGAACCACCTCCCCAAAATAATAACACTGCAAGAGGTAAGATACAACCAATACCAACACAGTCCCCCCAACACAAGGTGCAATATACAAGTACAAAACAAATCAGTTCTAACATAATAAACAGAGTCTGAGAAATGTAAGTTGTCTTTCTCCTCCTGAAGAGATATTCAGTGTTCAACTTTATCTAACCCAATAGGAAAATGTGCTGAGGTCAAAGGGTAAAACATGCTTCGAATCAGTTGACATTTAAAGTAACAGGTGACTTCTGTCCCTTGGTAAAAAACCCTAATTGTTGACTGTAATGTGCATTATTTAGTCTGTGCTTGATTAACCGTGTGCCTTAAAAGCTCAACAGGTCAAACAGCTGAAAGCAGTGTTTATAAGCCCTTTAAGAAGAAAAAAACCCAGTCATCTTTACTGTGTAGCAGCTCACATATACCAAAAAGTCTCACACACACATAAAGTAACTCATAATCAAATTCCACTCAGGTCCCTCCTGGGAAATGATGGTACTTCTAATAAACATGTCTGCGGTGAACAGAGTGGCAGAGTAATTTGGAAGCGTTGCACCGTGCGCTGCAGGATGCAGTCTGTTTCCTGCTCAAACAGATGGGCCTCCTCTGCGTGTATTCTGCTTTCTGCACCCAAAAGCCCTCCTGAAAAACAGCTCTGCAATGCAACACATAATAAAGCCAAATGATCACAGTTTATTCAGTTGTTGGAAAAATAAATGTTAGTTAGTTTGACAGACTTTCACAGTGACAGAACATTTCACACCCTTATGTTTTTATGTTGGTGGTAGTTTTATTTCGGGGCTTTTTATGCCTTTTTCATATAGAGACAGGACAGTGGGAAGAGTCAGATATCGGAGAGAGAGTGTGGGGAATGACATGCGGGAAAAGAGCCACTTTGAGGACTTGAAGCCTGTGCACATGGCGTTCATGGTGTACATTGCTATAGCGTGCACTAACCACTGCAGGCTACCATCACCCCTGGTGGTTCAGCTTTTGGTTGTAAATGAATGGAGCTTTTGGTTTTCTCACCATTTTATTGAGTTAATTGTCACCACACAGAATGATTTAATTTCAGAGCTGCTGCTACTTTAAATGTGTTCATGTCCACAAGACTGATGATTTCAAGTGTCAGTAACAATCTGAGTGTCATACATTTTTGTCAATTGTCTGTGTGCAATAGTGCAATTGTACTTTAAACGTGGTATCTGTTCACAGTATTGAAAGAGCTTGGATGAACTGTGGTGTGTTTTTTGATTAAACAACAACAACAACAACAATAATAATATTACAATGACTGTCCTCAGCTGAAAATGGTTTACCACATAATGTCAATGAGAGTTGTGCTGCCTCTCTGTGAGTAATTAAGTGGATTGTTAATGCCACCTGCTGGACAGTTAGTGAAACATGTTTTTTTCAGTTTTGAATCCAACATGCAACACATTTTGCTCTGCATCATCATCATCGCTTTGTTTTCAACTCATCGCAGTTTTACGCCCCCTCGAGGGAATCAGAGTCTGACTTTATTGTTTCGACACGGGGAAGGGAAGCGAAGCAGCGCTGGTTGAGCCACTACAGAAAAAAAAAAGCTGATGGTCTGCTGTTGTTGTTAAAGAGGAACCTTAATTCAATACAGAGCACCTGCCTCTGGGCATTAGTCTGATGTGTCTGAGAGCAAACAGAGAGCAGCGTCCAGGGATGTAACCACTATAGTTTTAAATACAAAGCTACAACATGTTAGAGGAAGTAAGAACACACTGAGAATTTTTAGATTCCGCTTTAAAAATGTAGAATAAACAAAAAAAAGAAGAACAATCCAAGTTTTGTCGTATGACTTCCTCCAAGCATCCTGCTCTTATTCTCGTTTCTTTAAAAGCATTCATGAAAGATATTACACATTCCCTGTGAGCAACAGATTAAGGCTAAAAAAAGCATTAAAGGAACGTGGGTGGTATTCATTTTTATTCTTCCATTCCTTGAATTTAGTACGAACCATTTCTGGGCTGACATTTACACATTTGTAACAAGTGTGGCAGTGTCACAGCAGACATTGTTGAAGTTACTGCTAGAAAAAGTTGCTGCAAAATAAATCACAAAATAAAAATTGAACTGTATCTTGTTTTTATGCTGACATTTTGGTCTCGATGCATTTTTAACATTAAAGCAGTACTCACAGGTAGAAACGCTTACCGTATTACATTTTGTATTTTACACACAAATATTAAGACATTAGTTACACACACACACACAAACACACACACACTGGCACCTTTCCCACAACACAACAATACAAAAATCATCAGATGAAGATCCAGACATTCCTTGAAATTGCACAACCAAGCAATATTGTAAACAAACAGGCCCGACACTTCCCAAAACTCATTTGATGGGCGAGTCCAGGATCTCTTGATAATCCTGCCGGATGGCTCTGCTCACCCTGTACAGCTTGACTCCTGTGAGAGTGAACACGCTGATCATGATGACCAGGCCTCCGATGACATCATAGATAGACGGGATCATCCTCAGGACGATAAGCTGGAGGAACATGGCGACCACGATTTCCAGGTGCTGCACGCTGCTGACTAAGGCGGGATGAAACTTGTTCAGGGCGTAGTAGACTCCGAGGAACGCCACGGTGGAGCAGATACAGATCCCAATCAGGTAGCCCCAGGTTTCCCCGTCCAGAGGGATGATGGGCTCCTGCATGACAAACATGGTGGACGCCCCCCAGACCGTGCCCGTCCAGCCGAAGGTAAAGAGCGCCGTCCACATGCTGACGCGCTCCTTGATGGCTCTGTAGACGATCATGGAGAGGGCGGCTGTCAAACCTGCTGTCACTGTCATCGTGTAGCCGAACGCCTCTTTCCAAAACCCCAATCTGGACTTCTCCTCGTCGGCCACGTTGGGCACCATCACCAGGCACAGGCCGAACACGCTCCCCACCACCGTGACCACGTCCGTGTAGCCCAGCCTCTCGTCCAGCAGCAGGAAGGCCAGAACGGCGCTGAACACCGTGGTGGAGGCACGCCACATGAGGGTGCCGTTACTCGGTGGGACTATGGCGAAAGAGGTGTAGGCGCAGGTGATGGAGATGACGTTGCACACGCCGTAGAGGAAGAGCCGCAGCCGGTAGCCCTTGGGGCCAAAGGGCGCCTCCTGGTAGTAGAACACCACCAGGATGGACAGCACTTGGATCACAGAGCGGATGAAGAGCAGCTCTAGGGAGGGCACTTTGGAGCGGTCGGCGGCGAGACGAGTAATCAACGCCACACAACCGTGAGCCACTGCCGCCCCGAACAACGCCATCCAGGTCACCCTCGAGGCCAGCACGTTGGCCTCGCCGAAGCTGGCCAGCTGACCCCCGACCCCCTTGTCTCTCGGCACGCTCGGCTGCCTGGGCTGGGTCTCCATGGTGCCAAAAAAAGTCCTGCCCCCTTTGCTGCTCTCCGTCGCCAGCCTTTTCCCCGTGTTGGCTTCCGCAAAGGCGCCAAAGTCCTCGAAGGAGGGCGCGTCATCGTAGCCTTCGTCCCCGGGCTGGGGGAAGTGGGTGGCATATTTCACTGTCACCGTGTCTGGGTGGATCTTGACCCGCTTTTTTGATCCGTACTGCAGCGAGGACGAAGAACCATCCATGTTTCTTTACGCCTCAGAATCTGAAAATGAAATAAAAATGATTGCAGTGCCAAATTACACAAAGAAATATTGTTACCCTGTGGTGTGATTTTATGAGTGCACAACAGAGCCTTTCCGAGTGACTAATTTGCATAATTCAACCCTTTATTTTCATCTCTGAATAGATATGTGTGCATGGTGTAGGTCTGGTTGTTAGGAAAATGTTTGGGTTCACATGAAAAACTATGCTGAGGTTTCTGTACTGCTCTGAGGAGAAAATGATATTTTGTGTTCACACTATATTATAAAATGCAGATTTTACAAATGCTCATCTTCTCTCTCCAGATGCAATTTTAAAACATTTAAATCCATCCCTGGGCCATCTGTGACCACTTCTACTCCCTGCACTATTTGTTCTGTTACACTAGTTATTTGTATTTAATTTACTTTTTGTTTATTTATAAGAAATATTAGAGTTATAACCATTTTATTCATGTTTGTTTATAAGTATTTTTTATTTTAAAATAAAGAAATTATGTAAAATATAAAGATGTAAGCAAGTTTTCTTAAGTGGATGAATATTGTCTTTGGTGGTCAAACTGGCTGCAATTTAAGTGGCGACGGCTGAAATCTTGCCTAGGGCACCAAAATGATTTGGGCCGGCTCTGCACCCCACCCCTAACACCCACTCACTCAGGCGCTGACACACACTTGGATGCACACAGTCAAAGCATACTCTTATCACCTCTATCTCACTTACCTTTCTACCCTGCCTGTAGCCTCACAGAACACTTGTATTGTGTTACTTCTAAATATATCCCATCCATGCAAGCTCGTATGAGCCGAGCAGCCAACACTGTGAGGCTGATGCAGTCTGATGGGGATGAAATTACATAACAGGAAACCACACAGGGGACAATGCATGAATGTGGGACACTTGTGAGAAGGATGGAGTTGCACATCATACATTGACAAAACATGGAATATGAGAGTGCATGAAAGGGTTAAAGGGTGTTTCACAGATATTTAATGTTATGAGATTTTCTGACTTTTTTTTTTAAAGCAATTGGATTTGATTGAAGGGTTAGACTAACACACGTTGTGATGAGATAAGCAAATTATTTATTTAGAGATAAAACTGTTAATGCCAAGAGGAATGTTCATCTTAAAGATTTTGATCACTACCAAACACTCGGGTCAATTTCCTGAAACGCAGCATGGATCAAAACCACAAGGGGGCATATAGAGACTCTAATTAGCCCTCCTGCCTCTTCCTTTTCCAAATGCATATTCAAACAACTTGATTTGAATAATAAACGATGTAGTATGGTAATAAAATGAGGGACACCCCTTTAAGAAAGGGACATATTAGATCTTTTTGTCTGAAAACAAAAGACAAAAGCAATACAGTGACCACCTTAAGACATTCTTTAACGGAGGCTTTATATTTCACTGACAAAAACACGCACAACATTTTTGATTTTCAGGAATTCGAGATGGAAAAATCTTGATTTCTAGTTGAGTTTTTCATTTAAATGGCGAAATGGAAGTCTGTAAGTTGTAAAAATCAAGTTTACTGAAGGTTAAAAGTGGTGGTGTTGATGGTCTTTCCACGTCTACATTCTGCATAATATTTATCAATGAATAGCCTCCTGACGTGTTTGCATGAAATTGACCGATTGCAGCAAAAGAGAGAGAGAGAGAGAGAGAGAGAGAGAGAAATCAGCCTACCGTTTCTTTTTTGGGAATAGTTCCTGTTGATGCTTTTTCTTATCATAAATAAATATCTCGTTTCATTTCTTCACCCAAACATTCGCTCATCTGCCATTTCCCCATCTTCCCCCGTCGCCCTCTCGCAGCTCATTTGCTCTCCACGCTGTCGATGGACGCTGATTCTTCGACTTCTGCTGCTGCTGGCGAGCCTGGAGAAGCTGCTGTTGCTGAGGGTGATGATGATGATGATGAAGAAGAAGAAGCGAGAAAGTGGGGGGAAGGAAGAGAGAAAAGCCGGAGAGAGAAGCAACTGTCGCTGTCACAGCCAGTGGTTTCTCCTCCTCCTCCTCCTCCTCCTCCTCCTCCTCCTCCCTCTCCTGCTCCTGGAGACTGATTTCCACTCACAGCCGCTCATATTCGTCATCTCTCAGGAGGGAAAAAAACGATGTGCGTCGGTCACTCATCATCAGCATCACCACCTTCATCATGTTCATTTCAATAAAACTTTAAGAGGGAACATTCCCATCTTAATGAATGAGGCTGTGAGAACAAATAATTGTCTGCAAATTCATGCATCATGAGTCCCACTATATATGACATAATCTGGGTAATAATGGTGGACGTGTTTACTGCTACAGTGCTGATTTACATTTGCATATCTGCAAATAGATACTGACAAAAAAATCACCACTGCAGTCCACTGCACAGCTCCTACATCACACCTTTTGTACATTTTTTATCTTTATATTTTATATTTAACATTTTTAAATTGTATTTTATATATTGTAATATCTTCTTATTCTGTATTATTTAAGTTGTTGCTAGTTCTGCTTTATTTCCTTGTTAATTGTTTAGCACCAATACACCAAGTCAAATTCACTGTATGTGTAAATGTAGTTGGCAATAAACCCAGATTCTGATTCTGATTCTGATTCTGATTCTGATTCTGATTCTGGTTCTGATTCTGATTCTGATTCTGATTCTGATTCTGATTCTGGTTCTGATTCTGATTCTGATTCTGGTTCTGATGAGGGAGTTTAGAGCATAGACAGGTCTATACAGTAGAACACAGTGAGAGCATGAAGGATTCACAGAGGTAAACAAGACGCTCTCTTTTATTTGTTATTTCAGTTCAAAGTGATTCCTATAATCCTCTCTGGGATCTCCTCATTAGCTCCAAGCCCCCTCTAAGACCCTCATGAGACCTACGGTTCTTTCTATACGTGCACCAATCATTGGACTTCTACACTCGTTCCTAACAGCCTGCACACAATAAATATTCAGTCTGTCTTCTGGACGATCGATTCATTATGCAGCTGATACAATGATCCATTTTGTAAGGATAAGGAAGTTCCATTGGGATAAAACACAGACACAGATTCGCCCCTCCAACACAGGGGGGGAAGTTGAAGGCATTTAAAATGAGATTGATGTCGGTGTGAACTCGGCTGGAATAATATAGATCATCCTGCCACCAGCTAACACTGCCTCTGTGTCACCACTGAGCTTTAATTGATACGGAGGTGATTTGTGATGCTGAGGTAATTAACCCAGCGTCAGCGTTTACGTTCAGCTATTTACCGCCAATAAAAAACCAGACCGCAGGGAATGTGGTCTCTGTAAAGGGACATAATTGACCTATTAAAAGCTCCATTATTGTCGTGATATTTGGATTTATTGGCATGCAACAATCTGGACATGTCATATTTATGGGTTATTCTGGATGCGCAAAATGTCGATGAATGCACAAACAGGACTTCAGGACATGTTTTAATGGAGAGATGGGGGGTGGGGATGCTGCTGCAGGGGGCTCTCCAGGGCTCTCCAGTGACCTGGCACCGCTCAAACAACCAGACCAACTTCCACACACTTCCACACTTTGGTCCATTCTGGGACTTGAACCGGCGAACCCTGCGATCCCTACAGACTGAGCTCCTGCCACCCCTAAAATATAATTCATCTCAATAAACAGCCTATATTAATTTAGAATATCTTTAGTCTTTGTGAATTTCTTTGGTCCGTTCTGAAGTCTAATTATTTTAAACTAGTAAGAGAACAACACAGTTTTCTATATTAAACAACAGGAGTGTGTATGAAGCTGCAGCTGCTTTCTCATTCAGTGTCAGTAACACATGAAGAAGTTAAGGGATTAATAAAAAAACACACCTTAAAGTCTTTGTATGTGATTTTTTGATCCAGCAGATGTCGCCCTTGAGCACCAGCATGAAACCAAAACAACTGGCGCTGCATTGTTGTGTTAGCATGCTAATGCTAGTGATCTTTATTATGCTGGTATCTTCACACTGCATGTAAATTTACCTGAAATGAGCGTGATCTAGAAACACAGTTAAGCAGTGAGTACAGTATGTTATTCTTCTTTTCTCTAGTCCCTCAATTAAACAACTTTTATACACGAGGGGAGGAGTCAGCCGGCCGTCCTGGCGATGTAAACAAAGTGAAGATAGGACTCTGAAAACTTTGAAAACATCACAGACAGTGGGACTCGGGTGTTACACCCATTGTAGACAGTCATGACTCACAGAGTTATTTTCAGAGGATAGACTTGATTTCTACATTTAAGTGTGAAAAATCACAGATTAAGACTTTAAGATTGCAGACCACATAACAGCTCATAAAACCACATTGACACTGAAGCACTGGCTGCATGTCCGCTCAGTTTATCATCTAGGGTACATAATCCGACCATAAGAAATTCATGGGTTTCGTTTTAATGATTTACTCGATGGACGAATCCAGACAGATGAGGAAGAGTTTAAGGAAGAGAAAGAGCTGGAGGTGTTTCATTATCTCATGAAAAAGAGAAGAATGAATCAGCTCTATTAACTTTCTCCAGGGAGGGAGCAACACATTAAGCTTCTTTAATCTCGACTCCACTGATTTTATGTCAGGCGCCGTCAGCAGAGAGAGATACTTTCTTCACATTAATATTGATTTGTTTGTTTATCAGATTATATAGAAGGCTCCTTCCCTTCACGATCTCTCAATAAACTTAAAAAGATGTTTGAGGGAAAGTGAGTTAAATAGAGACGTGAGCGCTTAATGAAGACTATTTAACAGCAATAACAAGTGAAGTTTATTATTTAGTCCAGAAATAAAACGATTTTCTCTTAAACTCTTTACATCTCAACAAATCTGGAGACAATAAAAGTTGCAGCGTTCATGAGGCGACGCCTGCGAGCTACTTCAGGCTGCACTGATTTCACACTGGAGATGCGTCATCCTCCTCCATCACCTGACAACACCTCCTTCCAATTAGCGCTCTGTTTAATAATTTGAACAAACATGAGTCGTCTGACTGAAATGCAGCTCTCTGATAGGTTGCTGTTTTGTCTGCAAACACTCTATTAACAGCACATGTGGTAAATCAGAGGACAGATCTCAAGTCGTGTGCAAAAATGTGTACTTTTTCTGTGAGGACTCACACTTCAACTTGTGTGCTGATTCATTCAGTGTGATGATTATTATAAAGGAAATGTTGCTCTCCACAAGGTCCTCCAATTCATTTTTCTTACAAAGCCTTTCATTTCATCCTTTGACTTTTGCTAAGGTTGACATTTCAAGTATTTTCATTTCCACAACTTCATGCAGTTTTTTTTGCCTTTTTAATCAATCAATCATTATTTGTATGGAGCCAATTTATAACAAGTGTTATCTGGCAGCACTTCAACAGAGCATGTTTCCTTCATGTCTGATCATAAAGTAAGGTCACTTTATCATTTCAGTCAGTAGATATCTTACAGATTGGTCCTTTAACAGTAATTTGACCTTGACCTCAGGTACTGTAAGCGGGAGTTTCTTAGATTTTCACTTTGTCAGAGGTCCAAACCAAACTTTTCCAACATTATGCAACCTGCAAAAACCTGCTCAGGGAAAAGCTCATCCTCACTGGCAAAGCATCTACCCTCGTTTTTTTTTTTTATGTCTATTTGCAGAACCCAAAACTAAACAGTGCCCCATTTTTCATGAATCATAAATACGCCAACTCAGCAGTTTGTTCTGGGTCGAGACTTTTTGATTATGCATGAGCCGAAGAAGACTCCACTTCTGAAAAAGGGAGCTTCCCTCCTTGTTTTGATATTCTCTTTCAGGCTGAACTAAAATATAAAATATCACAAAAAGTGATGATCATCCTTTATCAACAGTATGGTATCAACACATTAGTTTTGAACAAGTGTACAACAGAGCATGCAGTATCATCATGTCTCTTTACTGATGGCTTTTATAGACTTAAAGGCTTAATGTGATTTTTCACACTTAAATGTAGAAATCAAGTATCTCCTCTGAAAATAACTCTGTGAGTCATGACTGTCTACAATGGGTGTAACACCCGAGTCCCACTGTCTGTGATGTTTTCAGAGTTTTCAGAGTCCTATCTTCACTTTGTTTACATCGCCAGGACGGCCGGCTGACTCCTCCCCTCGTGTATAAAAGTTGTTTAATTGAGGGACTAGAGAAAAGAAGAATAACATACTGTACTCACTGCTTAACTGTGTTTCTAGATCACGCTCATTTCAGGTAAATTTACATGCAGTGTGAAGATACCAGCATAATAAAGATCACTAGCATTAGCATGCTAACACAACAATGCAGCGTGAGTTGTTTTGGTTTCATGCTGGTGCTCAAGAGCGACATCTGCTGGATCAAAACATCACATATAAAGCCTTTAAAGCACTGATTTAACAGAGTAAAGACTTCCTCTACACCCATATCAGCAGCTGTAGGCAAAACAATAACCTAAAAGCGAGTCGTAGTGGCTTTAGTAAGGCAAAACAATTAGCTTAAAACCAATGCTAGCTGCTATGCTATGGCAAAACGATGAGCAAAGAGCTAATGTTAGAATGCTACTGTTACACGCTCATAATGCTAACCTGCTAATCATTACCAGTGTTTACCACTGTCACCGTCTAAGCTATGATCATTTAACATGAAATTGAAATAATTCCATAACTGTTAAAGGTCCAATCCGTAATATTCAGCGTCTTCTCTGAACTCCTGATAAAACTTTTACTGACTCCAGCAGATGATGAGTTTTACTTCCTGTGATGATCTGAGGCTCTCAGAGCTGCACAGGCTGACCATAATTGGATCCTGGAGCTCCAGCAGCTGATAACTTTCCGTCCTGTCCCTCTTGGTTTATCTTCTTAAAGTAAGATGGCTGTGAGGTTTGTGTAAAGCTTATCATCTCTTTCTTAGAGAGTTTTTAAATCACTGCAACAATTTGGAGAAATGTTGTGCGGTCTGTCATTGAGGCCAAACGTCTCCGAGCTGGTTTGCGGCTGTACCTCGAGGCTTTGATGAGTGTGAGCAGCAGATGGCTCTTTACAATCTGTCCCAT